AGCCACATTGTAAATTAAAGACAACATTATTTGTTAGCTAAAAATAGGATTTATTTAAATGCTAGTTGTTTATACAAGAATTAATTAAATTAGGTAATTAGGTTATTAAATTATATATATTATTGTTGATACTTAGTAGCTTACCTAAATTATTATTTAAATTAAAAATTTTAGATTTTAAAATATTTTAAACTCATAAATATAATTAATATTATGTATTATAAGCAAATGATTTAATTATAATAAATTAAGACTTAAAGTAATTAAATTTTAAATAAATTAAAATATGTATATTACAACAAAATCAAATAAGTGAATATTCTATTATATAATATAAATGAAAGGCTAATATAGTTAAAAGTTAATTAATTTAACTAATTTTTGATTATAATTTATATATAAATTTATAAACTGATTTTGAATTGCATTTTTTTAATTAATTATTATATCAAAAATGTAACTAATACTATACAAATTTAAATAATCTTTTATTTAATATTATAAATCATAATATATTTAATATATAGCCATCTTTATATAAAATATTAATTTAAACTTATTTATATTAAGTTCATTTTAGAATTCAAAAATTATAATATTATTAGAAACATTTTTTAAAAAAAACAAGAAGAGAAAATTACCTTATATATTTTTAAAATTAATGATATCAAAATCCTTAAAAAATATTTAGATAAAGAAAGTCATTTATAAAATTTATTAAAAAGAATGAAAAATAATAAATAATAAATAAAGATTAACTCTAATTTATAATGAACTAAAAAAAAAATACCAATTTAAAGAAAGCAATTTAATATAAAGTTTTTTACAAAGATTTTTACTGATCAAGTTATCTATAAATAAAAATTCATTTAGTTTTGATAAAAACTGTTTAAATGTATAATCTGCATTTTGCTTTTTAATATAATTGTAATCAAAAAATCAAATAATGTAAAAATAATTCAATTTTTTATAAATATTATTTTAATTATAAAATATATACTTTTAAAAATGTAAATATTAATAAAAATATTAGAGTAATTATATAAGAAAGAAAAAATTAGATTCAAAGCTATTAATATATATAATCCATTTTTTGTTTACTTTGATACAAATTTATATTTTAATATCTTCTTTATTATTACTGTTATTAATAATCTTATTATTATTTTTATTATTTTATTTTTATTATTCTTATCTAAATAGTTTACAACTTTTTTTTTCTTTATTAATTTAATTTTAAGTTATTTTAATAGTCTTTTCTATAAGATTATTTTCTGTAAATAAAAACTTTGTATTATGAAAGTTACAATAGTTTTTCTTTAACAAATAACTTGTGAATTTTAAATATTACTTTATTAAATAAAAATTTTAAATTCAATTTAATTCTTTTACCATATAATTATTTTAAATTATTTTATAATATTTTAATTTTCAACAAATAAATTTTATTTACTGTTAATGATTTTATTATAAATTATAACTTCATTATTTAAATTAAAGCTTTTATATTATTAGACTAATTATTATAAAGTATAGTCAATTTTTTTTATAATGCATTTTAATATAATAAATTTTATAATATAATAAATCTTTAATATAATACAGATTTTATTATATAGAAAAAGATTTATTATATTGAATTATACTAGATAATAAAAAATTCTTTTCTATTAATCACTTTTTATATAAAGTCTTAGAAAATAAAAAAGTTTTACATTATCAGTTACTTATTTTATAATTCTGTTAAATAGTTTATAATTAATATATATTTTCAATTAATATTTATTTTCAACAAAGAATTTTATTTTAAAGTTTCTTTTATTAAAAAATAACTACTTGCAAAAATACTTTTAGATATAATTTAAAAGTTAATTAATAACTAAAGCTTTAACCTATTACTTCAATGTCTACTTTAGATAAATAATATAATCCTTTATCTATTTCAAAAACTTTTAATTAAAAAGTTTTTAAAGCTTCTTTTTTCTAGAATCTTAAACAAAAATAAGTATATTTCTATTAAAAATAAGAATATCATAAAAATAAATAACAAAGATTTTATTATTATTATCTATCTGATTCCTTTCACTTACATTACAATTATCAATAAATTTATAAAAGAACTTTTCATAACTAATATTTCTAAAGTTATTAATGTTTACTTTACCTTTAATAATATATTTAAGGAGGATAATATATATCACATTAATTTTATAAGGTCAATCCTAATCTACTTTAATAATTAAAATCAATAAAATTAGTCCTTATTACAAAATTTCTGATTTAAGCATTGATCATCTAAAAATTAATGCAATATATAAAAAGAATATGCAATTTTAACAAAAAAATCTTACAAATTATAAATATTTATTTTAACATAAAAAAGAATATATTTATCAACATTTTTATTAAATATAGGAAAATTATTAATATTCAATTACAAACTAGAGAATTTTGATAACACTTATATTACTTATAAAAATCTAAAAAATTAAATTATTTTATATATATAATCCTATTACATTTTAATAATTATATTAGAATTAACTTAGCAAATCTAACTTATAAATAGATATAATAAAAAAAATAATATTAGAATTAAGTTAACAAATTTATTTTTAATACTTTGACATGTAACTTGTAAAATATGGGGTCTTTGCAATAGAAAGGGAAGAAACTCCAAAAAAATTAAAATTTTAGTTTATAAGCCAAAAATGTTCTAAATACTATAATTTGTTCAGATTTATTATTAACTCATTTTTTATTTTTTTTTGAGTTTCCTCCCTTTCTATTGCAAAGGCCTCATATAGTTTTTACAACTAAAATTAAAACTGTTTACATTTCTCATTTAAATAATTATAAAACTTATCTATCTATTATTCTTTATTTTAAAATTGCTAGTACTCTTAATGATACAGTTAAAAATGCATATACTTATAGAAATAATGAATTATAATAGTATTTAGAAAATGATAAGTATTGCTACAAGTATAGCTTACTAGAATATATAATTATAAAGTATTCTTTAATTATTTCTTCAACTAAAAATATTTCTGATAAATTACTAAAAAACTTATTTACAAATTACCTTCAATTTAAAACTATAATAAAATTAGACTTTTTGTAATTTTTAAACTGAAATTATATTTTATTTTAAAGTAATTATATTAATATATATATTAGTATTAGCATTTAATTAAGTAATCTTAGATTATTTATATCAAAAAACTTTTTAAACAATGATAGATTTATTAAAATTTATTATATTAGTAATTAAATTAAATTTTAAATTATTTGAAATTTTTAATTTAGATTAAGGTAAAATTCTGAATAAATTCTTAAATTAATTCAAAATATTGAGTCAGATCAAATTATAAGTTAGATTGTAAGTTATATTGAAAAAAAATTAAAAAACAGTTTTTTTAAATATCTTAATATTTAGTAATCAATAAATAATATATTATAATTTATTGAATTCATCTTGATGTATTAAATTAATAATAGTTATTTTGTCTTAAATAGATTAATATTAATGAAGTAATACTTATTTTATATTTATCTATAATACACATTATAAAATTTTTATATAATAAATTAAACAAGCTATATTTTAGCAATTAATAATCTAAAAGAATAAATATAGTTCATTTAATGTATTTTTATAAGAAGAATTAAATAGTAGTTATTTTATTTCAAATAAATTGATATTGACAGATTATTAAATTTTAAATTTTTTAATTAAAAAAATTCAGATCAGATTGTGTTAGATACCTTATCTGACCTGACTTGAATTTTTTAGATTAATCAATTAGGTCAAATTTAGAGCTTTAATTTAGAATTTTTGCAGTTTATAATTCATTTAAATTCAAATTAGCATTTTTAGAATTTATAATTTGAACTTGATTAAACTAAAAGTTTAGTTTAATTTCAGATAGACTTATAATCTGAATCAAATTAAACCATTCAGAATATTAGTCAAAATTATTAATTATTTTTAATATTATACATTTTATAAGAAACTTGTAAGATAAATAAGAATAAATATACAAAAAATAATTAAATTATTATAATAATTATATTAATAAAGTAAAGAAATTTTTTTAAAAAAAATAAATTTATTTTTATTTATTTATCATTTTGGTAATATTTTATATTAATATTATATTAATTATTTAAATTAATTAACAATTAAGATAACAATTTCAATTATTAATAATTTTAACAATTCTAATAAAAAAACAAAATGTTAGTAATAATAGTAAGTGATGATAATAATAATATAAATAATAATAATGGTAAAAAATAAACAAAATGGAGTTAATTACTAAAGAAAATAAAAATCAATAGAAAGTTATTATTTCTTAATAAATTGAATAAGCTAAGTATAAAAATTGAATTAAAAATAACAATGATAAATTGCTATTCAATAAAGATTAGATTATGATTTTTTGGTAAGAATATGTAATATTTATTCAGTTAATAATTCATTTTTTTTTACAAATAGTTTAGAATTACCTATATATGTTAAAATTTTTTCTGAAAATAAATAAATGTTAGTAATAAAATCAATTTTTATAATAATAAATTTTCTGTAGAGAAAGTGATTGAGTCACTCTCAAACTCTTTTAATAGGCCTTTTTTTATTTTTTAATTTAATTTTATTATTTATTATTATTTTATTGTTATTTATAAAATTTTTTTTGATTGGTTAAAACCATATAAGTCATATGAATGTCTTATGCCAAGAGATTCGCGTGACGTAATTTTTTTTTTTTTATTTAACTGAAGGTAATTTTTCGTATTTATACTTTTAAATTTCTTTCCCCTCACAAATTTTTTTACGTACTAAAAAGTATCTAATCAATCTCACACTAAAGAATTAAGTTTTTCGAGTAAATGTGTAAGAACAACAAAAGAAACATTATTCCAGTTTTATCACACGATTTGAGAATTCCGAATTTTACCAAAAAGAAAAAAAGAAAAATTTGATTCAAAATAAAAAGATGAATACTATTGTTAAGAAAGATGAGATCCCGGATGTCAAAGCGCAGCTCGATGATGAATGTTGTGATAAATCTGATGAGGAAACAGACTTTGTTTGCACTGCGATACCAAATCCGGAACCTCTCCAAGGTATGCTCTTTATCTCTAAATATCTATACGAAAAAAAGTTGCCAAGTATTTTTAAACTCACCACTTCACGCTTTCAGGGAAACTTCTCTTGGAACCTGTAAAAAAGCTATCAGAAAAATCCCCTAAAGATTGGAACGACGATGATGTTATGCCGATAGTTAAACTTCTCGCTGGACGAACTTGTATTGATGGATCGGGAGACAATTTCGAAGGGACTAATGCATTTCATTCAATCATCGTTGACTTTTGATTCGTATCTAGATAATAATGATAACATCCGAGGGTTATTGGACTCGATTTAATCGTTTTTCGGCTCAACCTGATCGAAAATTTCCTTGAGTTGAGTCCAGATAGTTAAACTAATGCCTCAATGTTTTTACTTGAGATAAAATTTACATTGTTTTATTCGCAGTAATTACTTTTATTTTATTCTTTCATTCAAATTAATTATAACGCATCCTGTCCCGTCTAATAATTACAAATGATACAAATGATTCCCTTGAATTTGAGGTGTTTAAGAATTATCGCTAAAAAGAAAATCTGTTGAAATTACGGTTTTATGAGAAACTGATCAACGAAAATAATCATCGGTAAAAATTCTCACAAATAGTATTAAACGAAAATGGTCATAAGTGAATAATAGAAATAGAGAATAACATTATATTTAAAATTATAAGCAAGATTTTTAGAATATAATATCTTAGAAAATTAAAATATACAAATCAATCATTAACAATAATAATAATTTTTTGAATTTTAAAATTTAAAACGCAATAGCTCAGCATCTAAAAATCTAATTAATGCGAATTTAATATCATTGAAAAGCTTGAAATTACTTCTATTTTTTCTCACAAGCTTGAAAAACAAATATATTTCATTTGAGTTTTCCATTATTCAATTTTTAGATAGTATTTAGGATCAAATAGATAAAATATTAAGGTAGAATTATATAGAAAAAAGAATAAAAAATTATACTTTAGCATTCCACTTAAAATAATCAATATAATAGTATTCTAAAATAAAGTTATGTTAGCATTAACTTGACAATGATAAAAACCACAGTAATATCAGTATAAGAATTACTAAAATAAACTCAAATTAAGTTAGATAATTATTAATATAAATGCTATTATAACAAAATCAAATTATGATATATAATTAATATTTAAATTATATTAAATAATTAGATCATATTATTATAAAAGAATTATTAAAAAGAAATAATTAAAATAATACTTAAAATAATAAAAAATATAATCATTAAATTAAATTATATTATTACAAATAAATAAAACATTAAAATTATAAATTTAATTATGAGATTACAAATAAATTATATGTATCAGTTATATCAAATTATATTATAAATAAGTTATACCTTTATATGTAGGTTATATTTATAGTTGCAAAATAATAATAAATTTATTTTGATAAAAATTAAAACTATTTAGAAATTATTTTGACATTTTTGATAAGTTTTGATAGTTTTAATAGTTTTAATAAATTTAACAAGTTTAATAAGTTTTAAAAGTTTTGATAGTTTAATAGGTTTATTGTAATATAATGTAAAATATAAAAATGATTTTAGATTTTTTTAAATTAAAACAAAGTTTTCAAAATAATATATTATTTTTCAAATAGATTTTAAATTTGAAAGTACTTGTACTTATTAAAGAATTAAAAAAATTACCTTATAAAGATGATAATAATAAAAGTTAAAACATTTATTTTTATATTCAGATTTATTTAATTTTAAAAATTAAATTTAAATTTAAATCTAAATATTGAATTTTTATTTTAAAAATTATGCAAATCAAATAAATTTTTTTAAAGCTAAATAAATTATATATCTAGTATTAATATTTAAATTTAAATTAAATTTTTAAATAAAAGTTTAATAGATAAAGTAAAAGAAAATAATAATATTATTATAAGTTTAAATCAAGAAAATATGGAAGATAAATGATATAATTAAATTTAATAATCAATATGTAAATTTTTTAATTTTTTTATTCTTTATAAATAAATATATATATATAATATATAATATTATAAAGAAAGTGATCATTGTTATAAACAATTTGCTTATTTTATTAAATAAAAATAATAAATTTAAATTCAAAAATTATATTTTAATATCAGAAGATTTTGATGGATTTTATCATTTATTGAAATTTTTATCATTTATTAAAAATTTTTATAATTATTTTTAATAAAAATATTTGGTAAAACATTTTGATAGGTTTAATTTTGATGTCTATTAAAACCTTTAGGTTTTGTATAACAACTTTAGTTATATTTTTTATATTTAAATTATATCATTATAAATAGATTATATTATATTTCTTTTAAATAGAATAAATTATATCTTTTATATTCAAATTATATATATTTATAACGAAGTTAAAAAATTGTATGTATTAAATAAAATTAACACTATATTTGTATTATACTTATATTATATTTGTATTAATTTTATATTAATTATTATAATATGAAACTTTTATAATAAAAAAATAGCTAAAAAAAATAAAACATAAATTATACTAAATATGAATATAATTTGATCTAAAAATAATATTTGATATATAGAAGTAAAATTGATTTTTTTCAGTATTTTTTTCCTTTTTATTATAAAGATTTCATATACTAACTATATTAACTATACTAATTATACTAATTACTATACTAATTTTAACTCTATTTATAATCTGATTAAGATAATATAATATAATTATATTATATCATCTTAATTAGCTATATATTATATATAATTAAATAACTTTGAATTTTATAATTTTTTTATTATAAATATTTTTATTAAAATTTTTATAAAAACAGATTTTATTTATAATTATAATTGTTTTTATATAAAATACTTATAAAATTTATATTAAAAAATTAAAATTTAACTAAGTTAACTTTAATACTAAAAAGTTTAAAAATAATATATTTAAATTTTTTTTAAATAAAATAAACTAAAATTAAAAATTTTTATAAATTTGTCATTTAAGTTTATAAAATAGAATTATATGATTATCAATAATTAAAAAATATAAAAAATTTATTAATTTTATTAGAATTCTGATTAATTATATTAAAAGAGTTTATAATTTAAATTTTTTTAAATAAGTTTAAATATCAATTTTGATTTAACTAATTTTTTTATATTTTGTTTGCATTACTATGGCTACTGTAATATATATTATAAAAAAAGTAAGTAAAAATTACTTATTATAGGTAATTATTATTTATTAATCATCTAAATATATTGTTTTTATTAGTCCTGTAAATTAATAATTATTGGTTATTGATACTGTGTATACAGGAGAAAAAATTCTAATTACACAAAATTTTAATTCCTATAATTATAGATTAACTAATCAAAATTATAAATTTAAAATTATTAAAAATTAAATTTAGAAGCTTTTTAAAAAAATGCCAAGATTTTTTTTTTTATTTTTATTATGTATTTTAAAAAAAACTTTAATATCTTTTATTATATGTCTTAAAATAAATATGCTAAAATTTTTTTAAACTACAGTCATCCTCTTTATAGTCATATTTCTTAGAACTAAAAATAAATAAGTATGATTATAATAAAAAGTTATTATACATAGAGATTTTTATATGTTTTTATTAAGTGTTAATTCTGGAAGAGTATAACTATAAAAAGACTATGATTATAAAGAGATTTTTTATATAGTATTAATAGGTATTAGGTTTTTATAAAATGTGTATTTATAATAAGAAATTTATATAATGTGATTATATAGGGATGATTATAGAGAGAGACGACTTTATATAGCTATAATTAATATATATAAATATATAAAATTTACTTCAGATATAAATTTATTTAATGAAATAAAATTTACAATTCAAAAAATAATTTTTTTACATATTTTAATAATTTTTTATTTTTGTTATATTATTCGTTGCTATTTTAATATTATCTAAATCATTATTAACTGTATTTTCATTATTTTTATCAATAAATTTATAATATTCATACCCATATGTAAAAACTTTACTATTATTTAAAATATTAGTATAGTTAGTGTAATTACAATGTAAATAATCATATATAACAAATTTATAGAATTTTTTGAAGATAAAGAAGCCTCTCAAAAAGTAATAAATGATTATTTTATACTCTAAAAAGTGCAACTTCTATGAGTTTATTCTATTAGATAAAATTTTAATAATCAAAGAACATTGATATTGTGCTTGATATATCTTTATAAATACATTTAAAAGTAACATAATACACTTTTAAAAAAGTATAAGCAATTGCTTTAATATATAAAAATATTTTATAAAATTTATTCAAAAGTATTATTCTCTTAATGTTGAATAATAAAATGAACTCTATTTTATAATTATTATACAGTAAAAAACTTAGCTATACATTATCAAATGATACTATAAATGATTTTTATAAGACAATTATTTAAAAAGGTATAACAACTAGTAATTATGTTAAACATTAAATAATTTATCACAATCTAATAAAATATATCAAAAAGAATATTAAAGGATTATACTTATAATTTTTTAATTAAATTGAAAAAAAGATCACTCTAGAAAATACATACAAGCTTTCTCATAAGTTAGCCAGTTATCTTCTCAATGATATACAATATAAACGTTAAGAACTAAAAGAATTAAATTACTTAAAAGATTAGTTAAAAATAAGAACTCAATTTTCTTATAAATATAATTAAACTTAGAATAAATAATGTCAACTATATTAAGTTACATTATACATATTATGAGAAGTATTAAATCTATTTACTATAAATGAAACTTCTTATCAAGATCCTTGTTTTTTCAAATATTTCCTTATAAATATCATTAAATAAAAATGAATTTTTTATGAATACAAGTTTATGATTATTTAAAAATACATAAAGAGGATTATAATAAGCAAAAATTCTATCATAAATGAAAGAATAATTTTATTATTAAGAAGAAGCTGATATGCAATAGCTTTACAAACAAAAAACTGACTAGGTCAATTTACAATAACAGAAATTGCATAGTTAAAAAAATATGTTTGTATTAGTTTTTAATCGTATATGATTTGAAGAACTTTTATATAATCTTTTATGTCTTTAAATTACTTTCAATAAAGTCAAAGAGAATTGTATTCTATATATGTTTATTTGTCTTTTTCATTAATCTATCATTATAACTGTATAAAGTTAGTTAATTTATGAATACATTATCAGAAAATTTTTTACCTAT